GGGAGCGGTGACACAGGAGAGGAGGGACACGGGAGGAGAGACACGGGGAGCGGTGACACAGGAGAGGAGGGACACGGAGAGCGGTGACACGGGGAGCGGTGACACATGGGGCAGTGACACGGCCAGCTGGGGACATCCCTCCGGGCGGGGACAGGAGGTCCGGGGCCACCGAGCCGCCGTCCATCTCCCCCAGCCCGCCTCCCCCGGGCCCGGGGGTCCCGGCCGCTCCTTACGGTCGATGCAGGACGCGATGCCCCGGCGCCCCAGCAGCAGCCGCGCCGCCGCCCGCGGGGCCGCTCGCCACGCCATGGCCGCGGCCGTGCGCGGCCGCTCCGCTCCCCGGCGCCCGGCGGGGCAGCCTGGGAGCTGTAGTCCTGCCCCGGCACCGCCCGCCCGGCAGGGGAGGGAGCCGGGGAGCCGGCCCGGCCCCGGCCTTTGCATAGCGGGCAGCGCTTCCGAGCGCGGCTTCCTCCTCCTCCTCCTCCTCCCCGCCCGGCACCGCGAGCATCCTCATCGCCCCGAGCAGCACAGGCGGCAGCGGCCCGGGCTGGTGAGCGGGAGCTGGGAGGGCTGGCAGGGAGGGAGGGAGGAGGGGGAAAGCTTGGCACAGAAGGCGGAAAAGTTGATGCCAGCCGGCCTGGCTGGAGGCGGCCGGCTGGGAGAGCTGCTGACAGAGCGGGCAGGGCGTGGAGGGCTGTCCGCGGAGCAGCAGGGTCCGGAGGGCTGGCTGGGACCTTGGGGACAAACAGCGAGCCCCCCCGGGCCGGCTCCTGCGGCCAGCGCCCCGGGGCGATCGCGATGTGCGGGGAAGGAGCCGCTCCGCGGGGCGCGGGCGGGCGCGGGCAGAGCCGGGCACCCGGGCGGGGCTGGGCTCAGCCCTGCCTGGGCAGCAGCACGGCCGAAGCGCCTCTGCCCAGCACCTCCGGGACTGCCCCGGGCAGCTGCGGTCCAGCCCTGCTGCTGGTGTCCGTCAGGGCTCCAGGGTGCGGTCCCCAAGCCCTGCCAGCGCTCACACTGATGGAGGAAGTGGCTGAGCTCAAGGAAAGATTGATTTGCTCTGCACTCGCCCCACAGCGCTTGCAGCTCGAGTTTTTTCGGCCGCCTGAAGCAGCGGTAATTCCTCCTCCTTCTCTCGTCCATCAGGTGCTTCGCAGTGAAGATAATTCAGAGAGACCAGAGATGCCTTGGCCGAGCAGAAAGAGAGACAAAGGAGCAGTGGCAGGTCTGTGCTGACATCCTGGCTGATTTAGCGGCTCTCATTTGAGGTTCCAGGCTATAGTGAAACTACAGACAGCCGTATTAACCGTCTGTCTGTCACAGGCAGTGTCTTACAGACAGCATTTCCTGTGCCAAATGGGCTGAGCACCCAAGCGAGACTGAGACCAGCCTGCTGGGTGTGTGATAAGGACAGTGATGTATTCCCAGCACAACGGGGTTAGGAAATGGGATTCAGACCCGTTTTTGCGGAGCTTTCAGGTCCTGCACAGCAGAGTTGGTCAGTCAGAGTACACCCAGTGCAGTGCCAGGAAGCTGATGTGGTACCAGCTGCAAAAACAAAAAGCAAGAACAGTGCACTGGAGGCAGCATGATGTGGTGCTTAAAGTACAAGATGAAAAACCTGCACGTCTGTGCCACTCATCTGCTTGATCCACTCTAGCAAATAACCACCCTTTTATCCCTTAATCACTTCTTAATAATTGGGGTTTTTTGGTCTGTGTCCTGAAGAAAAAAAGGGTCCCTTCTGAACAGGTATCTCAGTGGAGGTTAAGCTAAGATTTCCATCTCCTGCAGGAATTGAAATAGTTTGATTTACTTGGTGAATGTTCCTCTTACTCATCAGATTCACCCAAGTCTACTTCATTGCCTGCAGCTGATTTCTCAGCAATTAGTTAAAAAAATTCAACTACACTTAATGTGGGCAAACATTGTCTATCCTGAGGTCTTTTTATTACTAACTGAGAGTATTAAACTACATTTTTGCACACAGAAAAATATCCTTATTACAGATGCAAATTAGAAATACTCAAAACCACTGGTGCATAATGCTGCTACCTTACCCTGAGCACCTGGGGTGCCCCAAACTCCTGCTGCAGTCAAATGTGTGAAACCAGCTTGGACAACTAAAAATATTTTTTGAAACACAATGTGTTTTATCTCGATGTCTTTTAAGATAAAAAAGAGCCTGATGCTAAAATAGCCAAAACCGAGGAGGAGACTTCAGATAAGGAGGAAGAAGAGAAGTCTGCAAAACCTCCAGCTGGGAGCTCCAAGTCAGGATGGAAGAACTGGAAGAAAAAAGAATCTGAGTCTGGGGAGGAAAGCAAGATCACATACTGTCACTGGCTGCTGAAATCAGAACCTGAGAGCAGGCTGGAGAAGGGGGTGGATGTGAAGGTGAGCACTGACACCCCTCACTCAGCAGAGGACAGCAGCAGGGTCACTCCTGCCCAGCTTCAGTGCCCAGATGCTGAGGGACAGCATCAAGCAACTCAGATTGTTTTTTTCTTCTCAAAACCCATTTGTCCTCCTGGAAATAGAAAAACAAAATGTTCTTGTCCAAGGTGACAACCTTGGTGTTTTATACATGTAATACAAGAGGAAATCAGCCCCTCGGGTTGCTTGGCTGTTGGTCACAGGAGCAGCATCTGTTTCAGACTCTGCCTTTACACTGCTGCCTTGTAAAGGTTTTTCTGTAGGCCCTGTGGGAGATAAAAATTGTGTCAGGTTTGTGCTATAATTGAAGGAGCTGCTAGCAGCAAATGCTTAGGCTCAGTGCAGACAATGACACTGTGAAAGATCAGAAACCTCCTGAATGAATGTTTATTTTCATTTCACTTGGCAGTTCAGTGTTGACGACTTGAAAGCTCAGCCTAATCAGACAACCTGCTGGGATGGAGTAAGAAACTACCAGGTAGGAAGCACATGGGGGCACTGAAACAGCAGCAGAAGAAGGTGGCTCTGCCACAGCTTGTTCCTGTCCCTGAAGCATTTCCTCCTGGGGCACTCTGCCTGTTCATGCAGGTGCATTTTGGCAGGGATCTGAATTCAGCTCTTGCTTAGTGGCCTCTAGGTCAGAGGGAGATTCAGGCTGGGGAATATTCTGTCAAATCATCCAGTTTTCCTTTCACTTAGACCAACCTTTGATACCTTACAGCAAGTTTGTACTTACCCAAATCCTCTGCCAGTGTACAGCTTTCTGTTCCAAAGGAATTCTGTGTGTTCCCCTGCTGTGTATGATCCCTGTACTATACAGGATTCCCTATCCCCCTACACATGATCTGCTCTGAGTTGTTTGCTGACAACTCTCCTGGGCAAGGGTGGCTGAGCTCTTGAATTCCCACACACTTTCTGACCAACAGGATCTTGCTCTTTAGCCTTGTTTTTACTTAATTTCATTCCAACACAAAAACATCTCTATGACAACTGCAGGAAACATTATCTGAGTAATTCTGAAGCACATCTACCTCTCCTCTTGTTGCTTCCTATTCTTGGCTGCTTCTAATGAAGCCCTGAGAGCTTGATGGAAAGAGCTGAAAGTCTCTTGTTTACTCCTGACAGGCAAGGAATTTCCTGAGATCCATGAAACTTGGGCAGCAGGCCTTCTTCTACCACAGTAACTGCAAAGAGCCTGGCATTGTGGCCCTTGTCAAGGTGAGTGTGTTTTGGGGAGAGGGGAGAGGTGATAATGGGTTATCAAACAGCTCACTGCTTGTATCTCAGCACCAAAGAGTGCAGGAGTTGTCCAGGGAGAGCAGGGAATGACCAGGACACCTCAGCTCAACACTGCAGGGCTGACTCAGCCAAGTGTCCCCAGAGGATGGAACCACACTCTGCTCTTTTCCTGCTGACATTTCGGGGCACTCCCAGCCAAGCCAAGTGTTGTTCCACACTCTGATTCCAGTCTGACTCACTACATTCTAGTCAGCAGAGCCCACAAGGCAGTAGAATGAAACCAGGGCACAGAAGAGCTTTTTCTTTAAGAGGAGAACTCATCACAGAGATCATCATCAGCTACCCAGTTTTCCTCTGCTGCATTTCTTCCCACACTGACATCCAGCAGGTGATGTTGCACTCGCTGTTCTGCACTTCCACCCAAGAAATGTAAAGGAAACTATTTAGAATGGAGTTTAGGGAAAGCAAGGCTGATTTTTCACCAGGATTATTCATGCCCTTTGCTGACAGGTGTTTGGAACTGATGGAAACTTTCTTCTTCCCTTCTGCTCCAGATCGTAAAGGAGGCGTACCCTGATCACACACAGTTTGACCAGAAGGATCCTCATTATGACTCCACCAGCAGAAAAGAGAACCCCAAATGGTCCATGGTAATGTATTCTATTAAGTACAGCTGTTCACACTCTGTGTGCAAGCCAAGGGAAGGGAGAAGGCTGTTTGCATCATATTGAAAATCTCAAGCTTCTGTCCTGGCCTAGCTGCCTTTTTCTCTCTCAAGAGAAAATTCAATCCTGTTTTCTCTGCTTTTTCCCCAATCCCTTCCAGGAGGCTGCCAAAATGTATCTCCCTAAATTTTCAAATCTTGGCTGCAGAGCTGTTCTCCACGCATGGCAGAACCCTGAGTTAGGAAAGTGAGCTGAGAACCACTGTCAGTGCATAGCAAACAAAGCAGTAGTTCTGAGGCACATTAAATTGTAGGGAAGGCAGTGTTCATGGGCTGGCTACATCCCACATCCGAATTTTGCATTGTCTGTGCACAGTGCTAACAAATCACCTGCCACAAACACTGGGAAGCTCTTTTAGCCTTCAGCAAGGCAAAGCTTCCAAGCTGTTAGGGCACATCAGTCACTTCCTTAGGCTATAAACCTTCATCCCTCAAAGATTTTAGTGGCTATCTGGAGGCTGTGTCCCTGTCCAACCTGCTGCTGTGCTGCCCCTCTGTTCCCAGGTGGATGTGCAGTTTGTGAGGATGACCAAGCGCTTCATCCCCCTCTCTGAGATCAAGGCTCACCACCTGGCACACAAAGCAGATGGGGGGCCCCTCAAGGACATGATGCTCTTCACCAGGCAACGTCTGTCCATCCAACCCCTGACACAAGGTGAGAACCTCCCAGGGCTCTTGATTCCCTCCGTCAGACACGCTGGAAGTTTCACTTGTGGTTTTTCCTTCCTTACCACAGAGGAATTTGATTTTGTCTTGAGCCTGGAAGAGGAAAAGCCACATTAAAGCAGCACAGCTCCCACCCAGCCCGCTGACGCCTCCTCCTCCACCAGCACAACTCTCACATTCACCTGCTCAAGCACAGCACCACGAATGTGCCCCCACAAGATCTGCAGCCACACGTCCCTTCCCCTGACACACTGTTATTTTTGCTTATTTTTTCAATAAATGAAGCGTTTTTGAATCAACTGCAGCTACTTGGGTTTTAATAGCAGGAAAATCTGCAATTTATCTCTTGAGAAAGAAACAGGTACATCTTCTTTGTTTAGTTTGGGGTCTAGTGCAGCTCCATGTACTGCAGAGAGACATTCTTCTGCAGGAAGGAATCCCTGAGTTCTGTCTAGAATCAGAAAATTTACAATCATTGAATAACCTGGGTTGGAAGAGACCTTAAAATCATCTCATTCCATCCCCTGCCATGGACAGGGACATTCTCCACTAGCCCAGGTTGCTCCAAGCTCTGTCCAGCCTGGCTTTGGACACTTCCAGGGATGTAGCAGCCACACAATCAGGAGGAATTTCTCCCTAACATCCCATTTAAACTATTTTCTGCCAGTTTGAAGCCTTTCCCCCTCATCCTGTCAGTGCATGCTATTGTGAACAGTCTCTCTGGAGATGGATACACAAAGCAGATCACAGTGAACTTCCTGCAGGTACAAAAGTTCCCACGTTATTTTAGTTCTGACATCAGGGAAATGGAAGAAAATAAAGCCAGCTGCTAATTTTTTAAGCCACATGGGTCCTTCACCAGTAAAGCTGCCAAGTAGTGACACAGCTTAATGAAAGACCAAGGATTTATAAAGATCACAAAGGACAAACTCCTCAAGCATGTTTGGAGAGCTGCACACTGTGGCACTTTTAAAGAAAAACCTCTTCATACCACAGAAAAAAAACCCAACCCAAGTATAAAACATCAGACAAACTCATGCACAGCATTTGACAGCCAGGGCTGGCTCTTTTTAATTGGAGAGACAAAAAAACCCAAGTTTTAAAATACAGCCATTGAAAAGACGACGAATTAAGAAACATGTAAACACAGCAGAGGCTTAATTACAACTTGCACTGCTTGGTTTGGTACTTGCCCACTCCCCTCTGCCTGGGAGGGAGGGAATGACCCAAGTACAGCACAGAACCACCAGCTCAGGGGGGCACGACTGCTCGAGCAGCATCTGCCCCTTGACATGCTGAAAACGCTGCTCTAGAGTACCTCGTGCTGCAGTGACCCAGCTTCTCTCTAAGGATGCTCAGCACATCTGCTCCACCCCAGACAAAACAGGGCCCAGTGGCTCACAGGCTGAATGGTCCATCAGAATCAGTAAAAATGGGCACATTTCTGAATTCTGATTCCACACACAGGGACACGGGGGAGAGGGGACAAGGCAGGAAAAATCCCCCAAATCAATGTACAGGCTCATGCTGAATGGTCCATCAGATTCAGTAAAAATGGGCACATTTCTGAATTCTGGTTCCACACACAGGGACACAGAAGAGGGGACAAAGTAGGAAAAATCCTCCAAATCAATGTACAGGCTGATGCACCTTTTCCAAAGGAACCCTCCAGGAATGAACAGATGTTGAACAGTCATGTCCTTACAGCCCCAGGCAATGATCTCACACCCAGTCAGGCAGGAAAAAAACCACTCCTGGAATGCAGACATCTCCATCCAGGGGGCTTCTTTCCTACCACATGGCCTACAATCCAGGGGAATAAAGGGAATAAAGGAATAAAGGAATAAAGGCAAGGAGGGAGCTGAAGGAAAGCTTAAGAAGATTGCAAGGGCACTGCTGTGCTCAGTTCAGCCATAGAAGAACAGATTGCTATCCCCAAGAGCTCCCAAAGGAGCCTGACTTGTCCCTAGAGGGTTGTGCCTGGCTGCAGCACAGCCAGCTCCCCTGGAGGGAAGGAGGGAGGGGTGTCCCAAGTGGCACCCGGGTACTTTGCCATGGCACAGGCCCCAGCCCTCGGGCTGGCACAAGGTGATTGTTGCCTGCAGCCAGCTCTTGCCCCAGCCCATGGCACAGGCTCCCCGTGGGGGGACAAGCAAGCCACGTCTCCAGTGGGGCACAGCAGGACCAGGGGGTGACACGAGCATTCAGCAGAGATGAGAGCATTAGTGTCCTCTACAGAGCGAGACTGGCCAGCTCTACTAAAAACCACAACCCTACACGTGGTGAGGAAAAGATAACTTACTTTGGCAAGCAGAAACACACATTGATCACTGAAACACAGCAGCTGTCATTACATAGAAAGCTCCCCTTCCCACCCCAGCCCCACTCCCTCCACCAGCACTGCACTGAACAAAGCAGACACTTCCATTTCCCAGCTGCTCCACATTCAGCTGTAGGGCAGAGGAGCTTGATTCCAGAGCCAAAAGGAAGCTGGACAAACTAGCGAGCCACAAACTCAGGGAAATCCAGACAAATCCCACTGGACAGAGCTCATATCCCAGCACTCAGTGCAGGCTGGTCTCTCCCTTGGGTAGCAGGTCTCAGCACCTGCTTGGTGAAGGGCAGCTGGACAGGATGGACATTCTCCAAATTCAATCAAATCTACAAAGCCACATCTGATTTTTAATGGAAGAGTGACTTCCTTCTGGGAATGTTCTCATGAGTCCACTTAGCTGAAGGCTAAAAGCAGGTTATTTTAAAAAAGAAAACCTACGTTCAGGTTCTCAGTTCACTGTATGCTCTCAGACCTCGCTGGTGACTTCAGCTCAGGCCTCAGGAATGTGTCTCTGGAATCAGAGCTCTACCACCCTTCCAGGTGCTGCTTGGCTCCTTCCAGCAGCCCACACAGGCCTATTTGAGCCCCCCACAACAACTGCATCCACCTTCTGTCCCCACTAACCCTCATCCCGCAGGCACGAGGCAGCAAACCAGACCACACCTTGTGTCCCCACAGTGCTGTCCATCCCCACACCCAGCCTGCTCTGTCCCAAGGACACAGACACGGGCAGGGCAGTAAATCCACCCACAGGAGAGCCCCCAAGAGCTCCAGAGCTGCTCTCTACACCTCCCTGCAGCAACACCTGGGAGCTGCAGCAGAGCAGCAGCCGGAGTGTGGATCTCAGGACAAGACGAGGAAGGCACAGCTCGTGGCCAGGAGCCTTCCTGCCCCCACTTGTTGCCCACCCAGCAGCACTGGGACCATCACCGCTCTGCCCACCCCGTGCCACCTCCTCCTGTGGCCACAGCTCACTCCCTCCTGCCAGCCACAGCTCCCGGTGGGACACAGCACGCTGCTCCACGTGGCCGGGTGGCAGTCCCAGGGCTTGGTCACCTCCAGCATCCAACTGCTTGTGGCAAGGAATCCAACGCCAGCACGAAGAGGAAGAAGGGGAAGCAGCGAGGGGATGACACCACAAGATTTCCACCACGAGATTTCCAGCAGGCCACGCCACAGTCTCTGATCCCTCCTCTAGCATCCAGCTTTATCACCGGGGCGTTTTCCTCAGGCAAGATTTCGGAAAGGCAAGAAAAATAATCCATCCTGCAGAGCCCCAGGGCACCCTCCACATGGCAGCCCGGGCCTTCACTTGCTCTCTCCTTCCCCGCCAGGCCGGGGCTCTGGGGGCACAGAGGAGATCAGGCAGCCCCCGGAGGAATGGCTGGATTGGAAAGCGCCGTGGCACCTCCAGCTCCAGCCGGCTGAGCCCTCCCGCCCCGTCCCACCCCGCCAGTCCTTGGAGGAAAGGAATGAAGTCAAAACCGGGTATTTATTCCGTGCAGTCTCTGAGGGTGTCCTCCCGGTGCCGCTGCGCTGGGGGCTGCCGGCGCCCCCGGCCTCACTGCCGGCCGTTGTTCTCGGGCTGCCCGGGCGGCTTGGCCTCGCCGTGCGAGGACGTCCCCTCGAAGCGCTGCGACGCGATGGCAGCTTGGTGGGACATGCTCTTCCTCACGATGTCCCCTTTCCTCCACAGCACCACCTCCTGCAGGGACACACAGGGCTCCTGAGACCTTCTGCTGAGACCTTCCGCTGCCCCACCCAGCCCCGCAGGGTGAACCAGGCTCGCTGTTCCACCCACAGCTGGGACACACCCGGTGTTGCCCTGTTTTAAAAGTGCTAAGTTTTCTTTTATAGCACTTTTGAAAGATTTAAAGTTCTTTTAAAAAGTTTTCTATGCCTTCTGATGGCATATTTCACCTAGGGTTCTCATGCAGCATTCATGTAAATAATGATTGTTTTGCATTCTTCTTTGTGGGAGGAGAGAATTTATGGACTGTTGGTTTGACCAGTGTGGTTGGAGAGGTGGCAATTTCATCCTCCAGTCCACTGTCACTTTTGGAATTCTATATAATGCGAGGTCAGAAATAAAATTTGCTCTTTTCCTCTTTTAAATGAGTACACAGAAACTTTTACCAAACTTCTGTGTACTCATTCCGTGTCCAATAATGACACACCTGGCAGGGCAGCCTGCCTGAAATTTGGGTAGGAAGCTCCTCTCTGGGGTCTGGGCACACAGAGCATATCCACAGCACCTCTGTCCTAGTGCCACTGATAAGGTGATCCACAGAAGCTCCACCACTGAGGTGGGCACACAGAGGACATCCACAGTACCTCTGTCCTAGTGCCACTGATAATACCACTGAGCAGGAAAGATAACCCAGGCAGGCATTTTCCAGACTCCTCCTCACCGCCACAAACACCTGACCTGACATTCTTTTAGATCATCCTTCCATGTGATGAATCCCAAATTCCCAGTAGGTCCTTGTAAAAGCATCTCAATCAGTCACACACAGGTCCAAGGAGAACAGCAGCTCTGTTTCTCACCTGCTGTTTGAAGTAGCGTCTCTCCTCCTCATCAATCAGCACCAGGTTGAGGTAATAACGCACAGAGAACTTTTTGTTGATGTCCCTCATGGTTGGAGTCAGCTCGTAGCCAGCCAGAAAGAGCCTGATGGGAATGGACTCCCCTGGAAAGGACACAAAGCTGTCAGCACAGACAGGATGCAGACAGAAACCAGGAGAGCAGCAGCAGCAGCAAAACACAAACTCACACGGCCACAACCTTTGTCACCGTTTCCACAAGTGGACTAACATGAGCTAGAAGACCTCAACTCCCTCCAGAAATCAGCCTGCACGGTCCTCAGCCAGATCCTGCCCCTGCTGACAGCTATTCCAGCTCCACTCTAACACCACAGGACTCTTTTGGGACCTGCATCAAGACAGCACTGCAGGACAAAATGAGTAAGGTGACATCTTCTCTAGAGGTGACTCTGCTGGGCAAAAGAACAGTGGCACAGGATTGGCACAGAGCAAGAACACCACCTCTGCTCTGAGCTGCAGCAATGACAGCTGGTGGCCCATGCCAACTGTGAATTTATAGCTGGTTTTGCCACTGCTTCATCAAAAGAATTAAGTCATTGCAATGGATTCTGTCTTAGGTGCCCCTTGTCACACTGGAGAAGGAAGGGGATCAGATCGATCCCCTGTTCTGAGCCCACAACAGTAGAACAGGATGCTGAGCACACAGAAGATACTTCAAGAGTCCTATTCCCAGCCCAAAATCCTCCAGGAGAGCAATCCTGGGGGTTCCTGTGCCCTCTCACCTCTCACAGGTGCCCCATCCATGATCTCGTACTTGGCTATGGTGTCGTTCTCGTGGTACACGTTGGGCCCCGTGCCCGTTGTCTCCCTCTTGATGATGTCTATCTCCATGTGCTTGATCTTGATCCGCACCAGCAGGAAGTAGATCTTCCCCACAATCACATCTTTTAAATGGTACCTGGCACGAGAGGGGAGGAGACACCAGGATCAAACCCTGTGCAGCACAGCAGGGCTGGGGTTGACGTGCAGGAACTTGCTGGGCAAGCACTTTGCTCTCATCCCCAGCAGATGGCAAACCAACCACTCCCACCAGCAACCAGCCCTTCATTTCCATCCTCTGCTCTTCTGGAAACCCACAAGAATATTTAGCATGAGCAGATAAATTAAAAACATCACTTCAGGCTGAATATCTGCAAGAAACCCCTGTAAGAGCAAAGGCTCCAAACTCAGTATTTTAGCTCAACTAAACCAACCTAAATCACAGAATCATTTAGGTTGGAAAAGACCTCTGAGATCATTGAGTCTAACATTTGACCAACCACCATTTGCAGGGAGATTTGCCAGCACCAGCCGGGAAAGAAGCACTGAGAGTACTTTAAAAGTTCCCAACTTGTTTGCTGGAGTTAATTTTTACTTCAGCTGTGTTGCTTGGAAAGGAGCACACGTTGCATTTTGGAGGCACCTGGAAGTACTGATCTGGCTGAGGATACAGGGAAGTTATAGCAAGAATTTCATGCTGTGCTCCAGGCTCAGTGAGCCACAGCCATGGCTTCCCACTCCTTGATCCAGAGGTGTGGGGGAAGGAGAGGAACCCATGGATCAGGGAGGATCTGAGCTGTCTCCCAGCCTCTCTGGAGCACATGGACATGGAATTCCTTTGAGGAAACCTCCAGCAGGTGTGTCCCTGAGACCCCAGCTGCTCCCGATCACTCACTTGGACTTGTTGTACTCGAACTCGATGTGCAGGCAGTCCTCGATGCCCACTTCCATCTTGATGGAGGAGTTGAGCTCGGGGTAGGTGCTCAGCGTGTGCACGACAATGTCCATCTCCTTGACCACGTCGTTCAGCCTGCGGCTCACGGTGGCACGGAGGAAATACCTGCAGGGACAGTCCCCTCCCATCAGGTCCCAGCAGGGACAGGGGCTGGGGCCGTGCAATCCAAGCAGCCTCACTACACAGACCCCTGCAAAGAGCTGAAATGCATTCGATTGCCAATCTGAATAAAATGTGTCAACTCAACAGGTCCGCTGAGGAAGTTCCTTTTCCCCACTGAAGCTTGGAACTTGCTCCTTTGCAAGGTGAGGTGCTCAGTTCAGCTCATGCACAGCTGACAGAAGGGCCAGCATTTCAAGAACAGGGAATGGGGAATGTCCAAAGGAAACCAAAGAATTGTCACGAGGAAGCAGAACAGCAAGGAAGCTTCTCTTCCCATGTCATTTGCTGTTATACTGCTCTTTTTTAGTCCAGGTCTGAACAAAATAAACCCACAGCAAACAAGCCCCCATCTCTTTATGTGTACCTGCCCCTGGAGCAGCCAACACCCCACACTGGAAAAGCAGATGGGAATTTTCAGATGGAAAAGCAGGTTCCTCTCAGCTTCCAAGCATTTGTGAGCCCAAGTTGCCTAAGCCCCGTTTTGGGGATCCAAGGAGCAGCCTGCACATGTTAAAACCACTGCCCTTTTGCAACATTACATCAGGCTGCACAGCCACACCTCCCAGAGCAGATCTCAGGCTTTTCCAACCCCCACTTTGAAGGCACTGAAAGGATTTTGAGTCAATTGAGTGCCTTGATGTGAAATATCATTTCTAACATATGAACAAGGCACAAGCGAAGCATCTGTTTGCATACAGAGCACAATTAAAGTTGACAAGACTGATTACAGCAAAAATATCCTCACTGGAGATTAAACCAAACAGTTTGATTTTTTGAATTATCAAATAAATTAGCAAGTATTTGATTCAAAAGGGGCTGATTTCTCTTGTCACTCAAAAGGGGAAAAACAAATTCCATAAAGAGCCTGCTTCATGCTTGTAAAGTAAAGACCTCAAAGGCAGCTTTTTACAACTCAGGCCCCAAAATTAATTTCAAGTTCTGCATCATCAGAGTGAGTATCAGCACTTAGAGCAGAACTGGGGTCAGCCAGGGCAGGGGACTCACCGTAGCTTCACATTCTGCCCCGTGTAGGACTCGTAAGGTTTCTCCACGTGTGTGAACTCAAAGTCAAATGTTTGTGATTGAGTGAATTCCCCAGGCCGGGCCAGGTCCTTCACCAGGGACACGAACTCGTGGTGGTTCCCTCGGTCATAGTAGAGCTCTAGGAAAATGGAAATCCAGGTTAAGCTTAGCCCCACGTGACACAGGAGATTTTCAGCAACTCTCTCGTCCAGGTCACTCCTTCCTTCAACACCATTCACAGAACCGACCAGGGGAACTGCACTTGTTCCCTGCCCTCCATCAGAGCCAGGTGCAGCCCACAACTTTCCTCCCTGAAACAGGAAGGAAAAGGTCCACACAACCTCCATTATTACAACAAATCAAGAACTTGCCTTGGGGACACACGAGTCGTCTATAATCAATATTAAATACAGTTTGTAGCTCGTACAAACCTTTCCAATAATTTTCCGCACTGTATTCCAGGCTAAAGGCATTGCCACTGTGAGGAAAAACCACCACTGCTTGTCTGGAACAGACAGTGACAGAGCAAAACCAAGGGGACACGATGATTCCAACTGCTCCTGCTTATCCTTGGGCAGCAAAGAGCTCGAGAGGCCTTGAGCTGCAGCAGGGAATAAATGGCAATGTTGATCCTGCTGCACAACCATCCTGTGTGTGGGGAGGCAGCTGAATCCACTGCTCCTCCAGCCCATGGATAACACATTAATGGCCAGGTGAGCACAGTGAGGGAAGAGCTCTCACCTCTGGAAGCACTGCTCAAACCAGCTCAAGTGACCAGCACTGCTTCACTTTTCCCCCCAGCCCTCCCACACCAGCAGGAAACTACAGGTTTCCTCATTTAATTTCCTCCACACCTCCACTGAGTTTTCTGCCTCAAGACAAAACAACAAAACCCTTAAAACTCTGCAATTTGCATGAGCAGCTTGGGATTACCCAAACCCATCAATGAAACTTGCCCTTCCCAGCCCTGCGTGTGAGCCTGTGCCTACAGGACACCCACACAGCCCTTCTGCAAGGCAAAGCCTTTCTGCTTAGATGAGGAAACAAAAACCTAAGTCATCACACAAGCACACTCACCAAGCTCAGTGTCAGCACTAAACTGTGCAGAGGAGGCTTCTGAGAGGTATTAGAGGTGCCCAGAACTGCAGTTCAGCCCTCCTTGAGACGCACGATTTCAGCTTTAAGTGATGCCTGTTTCTCACAGCCCTTTGCTCACCTTATCTCTCTAATGGAAATTTTGGCACTAGAGCTCCCCTCACTTACGCACAACAGCAAATGTCACCAAGCCCTTTAGGCTGGGCAGGTGACATAAATAACCAAGCCTCTCTCTGTGCACTGAATTTTGTGTCCACTGAGAGGAAAGTGCTTGCTGATGTGACAGGGAGAAGCCACGTGCCAACAGAAAAAGAAGAACCAGCCACAGAAATAGAGGAATCAGCCCTGACCATCGTGACACATGATGCAGGAGGCACAAATCAAAAAAGCAAGGGGAGGCAGATGTCAGTGCATTGATTTCTCTGCTACCTCAGAAGGTCATGTTTGGCACCCTGAAACCTTTAGAAGAGTGATGTTTCCCACACTCCAGCCTGTCAAACAGGTATAAGCTGTAATTTCAGGTTTTCAGAGCTATAAGGTTTCCAGACTAGAACATCACCTGCCAACATTTCAGTGGCTTGCTCAGGCCACAGCCACCAGAGGTGAAACCATCTGAAATGGGTTCCATGCTCACCTGAGAGCAGGCAGGACCCAGCACCCTCAGTCTGGCATCTGGTACCTGCTCTGGAGCACCTTCCCTGCAAAACATCCCTCCTTCACAGCCCAGTCCCCCTGCCTGTTAAATTGTCTCACCTCCACGCTGGCCTCATGGCAGCAAGAAGTCACAATACAAGATGGAAAGCATTGAGAAGTGCAATTAGTGGTAGAAACTTCAGTGATTGATCAAAAAGGCCTGAGGGGCATAAGGACTGATGTGCAGCCACAGCAGCTCTAACACACCCAGCTTGGGCAATAACGTGCATACAAAGCAGTAATTCCATGCAGGCATGGCTCAGAAATCTTCCAAAACAGGGAATGAGTCGCAGGCAAGGCAGCAGAGCAGAGAGAGAGTGGGGCAGGAAACAAAGTTCATGCTTAATTTCCACTGGGAACCGTATCAATAGGAACTCATATCCTGGCTTCTGATGAACAGCCTCACCTACACCTCCCTTCCCTTCCAAAAACCAGAGTCAGGCACAAGAAAAGCCAATAAAACTCAAGCAGCAGCATGGGGTTGGGTGGGAAATCTCCTGCTCATGTTCCCTCACCACAAGATTTGCAATGCAAAAGCTGCAGGCTACAGCAGTGATTTTGGGGTTTAGAGCCAAGCACAGAGAGCCACAAATGTGAGGCCTTGCATGCAGCCACATCACTGGGAGGGAACATCCTGAACTTATTTTGGCTTGTGGGGCTCAAGGCATGTCGGTGGAGCAGGGACAGCTCCGCTCCAATGGAGGAGTGGGTGTGGCAGCTGCCTTTCCCCTACGACAGCAGGAAATATTAAACCTGAATTGGTTGCACGCACAGATAACCACAAGTTTTGAACAGCTTGAAGTCACCCGACCAACCGTGCAGGGACGTGTGGAGTAGAAGGTGGGACCAGCCAAGGTGAGCCTGCGAGCCTCAGGAAAGGTGATCCACGCAGGTAAAAGGGACATAGGGACAAAAGCCACCCCGTCAGCACCCTCAGCATCCCGAAGAGGATCAGCAGGCAGACTCCAGGCAGCTCCTGGAGCAGGAACAGCCAGCCTGGGGTGCAGGGCCTGGCAGCTGGGCTGGCAGCAGGTCCAGGCTGACCTGCAGCTGCAGGACGGAACCAAAGCATGCCCAGCTCGCAGCTGAAAGTGGTGACCGAGCAGAAGCAAGAAACTAGGACAGGAAAACAATGACCTGGAAAAGGACTGGAATGCCCTTCCTCCTGCCAGGGCTCAAGCCTGGAGAACAGGCCAGGCTGCCCAGCTCGGAGGGCAGAATAATGTCCAGCAGTCGTGGGAATGCTGCATGCAGCTGGGCATCACTCGGGAGCGAGCAGAACCTGTTCCACACCAGTGGGACCCCAGTGCCATGGGGCACAGCAATGTCCTCAGACCCCCAGTACCAGCGGGATCCCAGTGCCATGGGGTACAGCAATGCCCCCAGACCTCCAGTACCAGCAGGATCCCAGCACTGTGGGGCACAGCAGTGCCCCCAGACCCCCAGTACCAGTGGGATCCCAGTGCCATGGGGCACAGCAATGCCCCCAGACCCTAAGTACCAGTGGGATCCCAGTGCCATGGGGCACAGCAATGTCCTCAGACCCCCAGTACCAGCGGGATCCCAGTGCCATGGGGCACAGCAATGCCTCCAGACCCCCAGTACCAGCAGGATCCCAGTGCCATGGGGCACAGCAATGTCCTCAGACCCCCAGTACCAGCGGGATCCCAGTGCCATGTGGCACAGCAATGCCCCCAGACCCCCAGTACCAGCGGGATCCCAGTGCCATGGGGCACAGCAGTGCCCCCAGACCCCCAGTACCAGTGGGATTCCAGTGCCATGGGGCACAGCAATGCCCCCAGAACCTCGGTACCAGCGGGATCCCAGCACTGTGGGGCACAGCAATGCCCCCAGCTCCCTGGTACCAGTGAGTTACCATGGGATGCAGCGATGCTCCCTGGACTCTCAGCACCAGCAATGCCCTCTGGATCCCCAGCACCGCAGGGATCTCAGTACCAAGGGGTTCAGCAATGTACCCCAGACCCCTGGCACCTGTGGGATGCAGTGACCCTCCCTGGACCCCGCACCAGCGGCATCCGGGCACCGTGCGGTGCAGCCGGGCCCGCAGGCCGCCCCGCTCACCGATCTGCCCGATGAACTCCACTTTGATGCCCTGGTGCTCCAGCCGCTTGTTGGGGTTCTTGAGGGTGAGGACCACCCGCCCGGACACGGTCTCGCCGTCGTAGAAGAGGAAGTATTTCTCCTTCTTGCCTTCCTCCGTCTTGTGCTCCACCCGCCGCCGGCTCTCGGCGTCGCTCAGCACCAGCTCCAGCTCCGGGCTCTGCCCGAACCCGAAGAAGCTCATGGTGGCGGGATGCGGCGCGGGGCGGCGCGGGCCGGCCCCGCGGCCCCGCTGGCGGATCGCGGCCGGGGCGGGGCTGCGCGGGGCGGCGGCGACACCGGGGAAGGGGCCGGGGCGGCAGCGGCGGAGCGGGGGGGCCGCAATGCGGCAGCGCCGGCGGGACCCGCGCACCGCGCACCGCGCACCGCGCACCGCGCACCGCGCACCGCGCACCGCGCACCGCGCACCGCGCACCGCGCACCGCGCACCGCGCACCGCGCANCGCACCGCGCACCGCGCACCGCGCACCGCGCACCGCGCACCGCGCACCGCGCACCGCGCACCGCGCACCGCGCACCGCGCACCGCGCACCGCGCAGCCCCGCCCGGCCCGCCCCGCCCCTTCCGGGGCAGCGGCGGCCGCCCCGATTGGCCCGCGCCGCCCCGCGCCCGCCATTGGCGCGTTCGAACCCGGGCGGCGGCGCCATGGCGGCGGAGCGGCTGCGGAGCGCGCTCGGCGGCTGGCGCCTGCCGGACCTGCCCGCAGGTGCGGGCCGGGAGCGGGGCCGCGGCTCGGAGCGGGCCGCTAGGAGCAGGATTAGCAGCGGGATCGGACCCGCGGCCGGTTTGCCGATCACTTTTCCGGTCTTAGTCGCTGCGTCTCTCGGTCTCTCTGCTTCCCGGTCCCGCTCGCTGTCCAGTCTCTCTGTCTCTATCCCGGTCCTAGTCCCCGTCCGGATCTCTATTCCGGTCCCGCTCTCTGGTCCGGTCTCTGACTCTCTCCCGTTCTCTCTCTCTCTCCTGGTGTCCGTCTCTGTCTCGGTAGCGGTCTCTGTCACCCTCCCCGTCCTGCCTTGGTCCCGGTTTCGGTTTTGGTCCCCATCTGGGTCTCTGTTCCGGTCCCGGTCTCTGTGTGTCCCGGTCCCGGTCTCTGTGTGTCCCGGTCCCGGTCTTGGTGTCAGTCTATGTCCCGCTTTCTGTCCCGGTCTCTGTCTCTCGCTCTGTCCCAGTCCCGGTGTCTCTGGCTCTGTCCCGGTGGCTCTGTCCCGGTGTCAGTCCCTGTGGCTCTGTCCCGGTGTCAGTCCCGGTCCCAGTGTCAGTCCCGGTGTCTCTGTCCCGGTCCCAGTGGCTCTTTCCCGGTCCCGGTGACTCTGTCCCGGTCCCGGTGTCTCTGTCCCGGTGTCAGTCCCGGTCCCGGTGTCAGTCCCGGTCCCAGTGTCAGTCCCGGTCCCAGTGTCAGTCCCGGTGTCTCTTTCCCGGTCCCAGTGGCTCTTTCCCGGTCCCGGTGGCTCTGTCCCGGTCCCGGTGTCAGTCCCTGTGGCTCTGTCCTGGGCTCTGTCCCGGTCCCGGTGGCTCTGTCCCGGTGTCAGTCCCTGTGGCTCTGTCCCGGTCCCGGTGTCAGTTCCGGTGTCTCTGTCCTGGGCTCTGTCTCGGTGTCAGTCCCTGTGGCTCTGTCCCAGTCCCGGTGTCTCTGTCTCGGTGTCAGTCCCGGTGTCTCTGTCCTGGGCTCTGTCTCGGTGTCAGTCCCTGTGGCTCTGTCCCAGTCCCGGTGTCTCTGTCTCGGTGTCAGTCCCGGTGGCTCTGTCCCGGTCCCGGTGGCTCTGTCCCGGTGGCTCTGTCCCGGTGGCTCTGTCCCGGTGGCTCTGTCCCGGTGGCTCTGTCCCAGTCCCGGTGGCTCTGTCCCGGTGGCTCTGTCCCGGTCCCGGTGTCAGTCCCTGTGGCTCTGTCCTGGTCCTGGTGGCTCTGTCCCGGTCCCGGTGTCAGTCCCGGTGGCTCTCCCCCGGTCACCGGGCTGCGGGTGACCCCAGGCAGCGGGAGGTTCCTGACGCTGGCAGCAGCTGCCCTTGGCGCGCTGGATTTGGGTAGTCCGTGTTTATGTTGGAGCCTGATTTTGGGTGAAACGCGTGTTTCGGGGAAATCTCACCCCCGGCGCTTACGAACACTCTTTTCTTTCTTTTCTCAGTATGGGTGGACGCGGTGTGGGATATGGATTTCACGGAGACCGAGCCTCTGGATCCCTGGATAGTGGAGGAGATCACGGCGGATGAGCTCGGCCCCTTCACCCGCCTGTACAGCGCTCTGGAGCCCTTTGCTACCGGGGACCAGGTGAGCAGAGAGGTGGCATCACCCAACAGAGCCAGCCACTCTCACTTTCTTTTTTCACAAATGTCTTGCCTTGAAATCCACAATATCTTCAAAAACAATCTGAACAACTCCAGCTCTGTGTGCTGGAGTGCTTCAGAAGGAAGATATTCCCGAATTTTAATAATATAACTTAGCATAATATTAAGTATATATATAGTTATTATAATTACTAATAATTAATACAATTTAAAAATTATTAATTTTAATCATAAAACCACACAATAATGAGGTTGGAAGAGACCTCTAAGATCATCAAGTGTCACTGTTGAGGCAGGATGGGAATGAAGAGACTCTGACTCAGAAGGTTGTGAGAGTAAAACTTTGATTTATTTAAAATATATTGCTCTTTTATATAGAGCTTTGTAAGGATTAAATTTATTTGTTTTCAAGTGAAAACAACCCACACTATTGGTGCAGAGTGTTTTACGCACAGTGATAGAACTTAACTATAAACAATGTGAAAAACAAGAGAGATAAAGAATTATTTACATTCTTTCTTAACTCTTTCCCAGGCTTCTGCCTGCATAGAAACTCTCAGTTTCTTTCTTTGACTAAATCTGAGACCCACAGTCAAGTCCAACCTATGCCCTAACACCTCAACTAGACTATAGCACCAAGTCCAGTCTTTTTTTAAACACATCCAGAGATGGTGATTCCACCACCTTCCTGGGAAGACAGTTCCAGTGCTTTATTATTCTTTCAGTGAATTTTTTTTTCCTTAATTAATTGATTTAATTATTAATTAATGTAATTGCTATAACATAAATATTAATAATTATAGTGTATTATACTTTTTGAAGCATATAATACATAGGGAGTTTGTCATGGTGGCACCTATTAAAATCTAAATAATGGCTAGTTTTGGGCATTCATATTATTATGGGAGTCCTCACTATTCCTGTTTTGCCTCAGAATGTCTGGACCTTGTTTGCTGAGAACAGCCTGTCCCACCAGGCCCTGGTGGCCGTGCTGCATCACTTTGTGCACGTGGGCCAGAACAAAAAAGCCAGCGTGCAGCAGAGGCTGTTTGCTCTGCACTCAGCTGGGCTCTACCTGCTGCTGCTGGAGATCCCAGGTGAGCCTTGGAATGTTCCTCTTCGTGGCTGGGGCCAGCACAGGTGGGGCAGGGCTGGGTTTGTAGCAATTCCAGGTGGAACAAGTGGTGGTGCTGGCTTGATGGTCCTGAAATCCTCGGGGGTCAAACCGAGCGTGCTGTGAGTGCTGAGCAGTGTCACGGGCTCCTGTCACTGAGGGGTTTGGTGGCCTCAGTGTGGGTCTGTGTCCTGTGACAAGGTGACAGAGGAGCCTGCACAGTGCTGGGACCACACAGGTCCCTCTGCTTTGACAGCCAAGGCAGGAGCTTATTCCTGTTCCTGCTCTGTAGCAGGGAGCATTTCACTGTGCAGCACATTTGGACGGGTTTGTTTGTGCAAACAAAAATATCAGTTTAAAATAACCAGCAGCTGAGTGTTTCCAGCAGGTTAGTTCACAGCTGGAACCCTTTGTATTCCAGCATGCCCTGAAGTTTTGCTGATCTCTGGTGCAGCTGGAAGGGGCCATTCAGCTGGTGATCCTGCTGGAATGTGTCACTGCTGATGGGGCATCAGCCTGGTGCACTTCCAGCAGCTGTATTATTCTCTTGCACTTTCTTAGGCTCTGGGACATCTGTGGAGAGATCATAGAACCACAAACTGATTTGGGATGGGAGGGACCTTAAAACTCATCTCATTCCATGGGCAAGGACACTGTCCACTAGACCAGGTTGCTCCAGCCTGGCACTGAACACTTCCAGGGATGGGACATGATGCTCGGATGGTTTGATGTTCTCTGTATTTTGCCTGGAAGAGGACTGATGTTTGTCTTTTCTGGGCAGGCAGCATAGCCAACCAGGTGTTCCACGAAGTGATGCTTGATAAATGTCTTCACACCCTGACAAAATGCTGGCCTCAAGAGATGAGGAAAAGGAAGAAGGCACACGCTCAAAGCTCTCAGCCCAATGCCAGAAAGAACAGAAAGAAAGGGAAACAGTGCAGGAGTGACAACTCCAATGTAAGATGTCTGTACAACCTCTTCAGCTACAAATCCCTAGTAATAAGCAAATAGCTGGCAAGCTGTTTCTCTTTTCTGCCAATATAGATAGAAGAGATGTTGGAAGAGGAGAGGGAAGAGGATGATGAGAATGTTTACTTCTCATCAGAAGGTCTTCTCCAAGTCCGCAATGCCATCTTCCTTCTTTTGAAAAACTTCCTAAGACTTCTGCCCAAGTTCTCCCTGAAAGAAAAGCCTCAGTGCATGCAGAACTGCGTGCAGGTAAGAAAGCTGCAGCTTGATGAGCCTTGTGTCCCCTAGCACAGACTTTTTGGGGATGCAGATCACTCCATATGGAGGAGGTGGCAGCCCTGCCTTCCGTCACCTGGTCCCTGATGGGTGTTAGGGAAATTGGGAGCAGGGTGCCTGCTCTGTGTCTGCCTCTCGTGCTGAACACTTGCAAGTGTTCTGTTCATGGAATCAGAAGGGTTTGGGCTGGAAGGGACCTTAAATCTCATCCTGTTCCACCCCCTGCCCTGGGCAGGGACACCTTCCACTATCCCAGGTTGCTCCAAGCCCTGTCCAACCTGACCTTGGACACTTCCAGGGATCCAGGGGCAGCCCCCACTTGTTCCTGGGGACTTTCTGGGCTTTGGGCTCAGCTTTTGTTCTGCTTCAAGGGAGGTGTTTGAAAGTTAAACCCAGTGGTGTGACCCCAGACATCCCAGAGCCCTGCACACCCTCCTCTCAGGGGACTGAGCTCAGCTTGGCTCTCTTCCCTTGCAGATCTTTGTTGAGATGACCAGCTTTGAGCCAGTGCTCCACGAGTTCAAGTTTTCAGCAGCCATGTGAGCAAATAATTCTTAATAATTCTTAGTGTTTATATGAGGGTCTCAACAAGCAAAGCCCTCA